TTGGGGGGGTTTGAGGGGCTTTGGGGGAATTTGGGGGGGTTTGGGATTGATGGGATTTGGGGGGATTTAGGGGATTGATGGGGTTTGGGGTTGATGGGGTTTTGGGAGGGTTTGGGGGAATTTTGGGGTTTAGGGGCATGGAATTGATGGGATTTGGGGGGAATTATGGGATTTGGGGGGGATTGATGGGATTTGGGGGGGATTGATGGGATTTGGGGGGAATTATGGGATTTGGGGGGGATTGATGGGATTTGGGGGGTTTATGGGATTTGGGGGGTTTGGGGGATGGGATGGGATTGGGTTGGTTATGGATGGTGGGAGGTGGTGCCACCCCAGCGAGGTGACAATCCTGGTGTCCCCGTGTCCCCGCGGAGTTCAGCCGGTTCCTGCGAGGTGACAGGGACAGTGACAGTGACAGTGACAGCAACAGTGACAACGTCCCCACAGCAGTTCAGCCGGTTCCTGTGAGATGGTCACCGCTGAGGGACACTGCCACCACCCAGGGACACTGCCACCCCCCGAGGGATAGTGCCACCTTGGGGACACTGCCACCCCCCGGGGACACTGCCACCCTGGGGACCCTGGCACGCTGGGGAGGGTGCGACTGTGGGACACTGCCACCTTGGGGACACTGCCACCCCCCGGGGACACTGCCAGCCTGGGGACACTGCCAGGCTGGGGACACTGCCACCTTGGGGACATTGCTATTCTGGGGACACTGCCACCTTGGGGACACTGCCACCCCCCGGGGATACTGCCAGCCTGGGGACACTGCCACCTTGGGGACACTGTCACCCCCTGGGGAACCTGCCATTCTGGGGACACTGCCACCCCCCTAAGGGCAATGTCACCCACTGGGGACACTGTCAGCCTAGGAACAATGGGGACATTGTCATTGCCTGGCAGGGACACTGCCACCCTGGGGACAATGGGAGGGCATATTGTCACCTCCCCCAGGGTGACAGTGGCCTGGGGACGTGGCGGTGGCACTGTCCCCGTGTCCCCACAGAACTTCTCGGGGTACGACGTGTGCAGCATCCTGCTGGGGACATCGACGCTGCTCGTGTGGGTCGGGGTCATCCGGTACCTGACCTTCTTCCGGAAGTACAACGTGAGTGACACCTGTGACACCTGTGTCACCTGGGGACAGGGACAGGGACAGGGGACAGTGACAGGGACGTCACGGGGTCAGGGTCATCCGGTACCTGACCTTACGGAAGTACAACGTGAGTGCCACCTGTGTCACCTGTGTCACCTGGGGACGGGGACACGGCCAGGGTTAAATCCCATTTTTCCTGCCCCAGATCCTCCTTGTCACGTTTGGGTTGGGGACAATTCCTGTTTTTCCTGCCCCACACATGGAAAACTCCCATTTTTCCCATTTTCTCAGTTTTTCCCGATTTCCCCGGTTTTTGCCCCAGATCCTGATCGTGACGCTGCGCGTGGTGCTCCCAACGTGATGCTCTCCCCACACGTGGATAATCCCCTTTTCCCACCCCAAATCCCCATTTTCCCACCCCAAACCCCCATTTTTCCCACCCCACTTGCAGATAATTCCCATTTTTCCCAATTTCCCCATTTTTCACCCCAAATCCCGATCGTGATGCTGCGTGTGGTGCTCCCGACGTGATGCTCTCCCCACACGTGGATAATCCCCTTTTCCCACCCCAAATCCTCATTTTCCCACCCCAAACCCCCATTTTTCTCACCCCACTTGTGGATAATTCCCATTTTTCCCAATTTCCCCATTTTTCACCCCAAATCCCGATCGTGATGCTGCGTGTGGTGCTCCTGACGTGATGCTCTCCCCACACGTGGATAATCCCCTTTTCCCACCCCAAATCCTCATTTTCCCACCCCAAATCCCCATTTTCCCACCCCAAACCCCCATTTTTCCCACCCCACTTGTGGATAATTCCCATTTTTCCCAATTTCCCCCCTGGGGACACTGCCAGCCTGGGGACACTGCCACCTTGGGGACATTGCTATTCTGGGGACACTGCCACCTTGGGGACACTGCCACCCCCCGGGGACACTGCCACCCCCTGGGGACACTGCCACCACCCGGGGACACTGCCACCTTGGGGACACTGCCACCCCCCGGGGATACTGCCAGCCTGGGGACACTGCCACCTTGGGGACACTGCCACCCCCCGGGGATACTGCCAGCCTGGGGACACTGCCACCTTGGGGACACTGCCACCCCCCGGGGACACTGCCACCCTGGGGACACTGCCAGCCTGGGGACACTGCCACCTTGGGGACACTGCCACCCCCCGGGGACACTGCCACCCCCTGGGGACACTGCCACCACCCGGGGACACTGCCACCTTGGGGACACTGCCACCCCCCGGGGACACTGCCACCCTGGGGACACTGCCAGCCTGGGGACACTGCCACCTTGGGGACATTGCTATTCTGGGGACACTGCCACCTTGGGGACACTGCCACCCCCCGGGGACACTGCCACCCCCTGGGGACACTGCCACCACCCGGGGACACTGCCACCTTGGGGACACTGCCACCCCCCGGGGATACTGCCAGCCTGGGGACACTGCCACCTTGGGGACATTGCTATTCTGGGGACACTGCCACCTTGGGGACACTGCCACCCCCCGGGGACACTGCCACCCTGGGGACTGCCACCACCCGGGGACACTGCCACCTTGGGGACACTGCCACCCCCCGGGGATACTGCCAGCCTGGGGACACTGCCACCTTGGGGACACTGTCACCCCCTGGGGAACCTGCCATTCTGGGGACACTGCCACCCCCCTAAGGACAATGTCACCCACTGGGGACACTGTCAGCCTAGGAACAATGGGGACATTGTCATTGCCTGGCAGGGACACTGCCACCCTGGGGACAATGGGAGGGCATATTGTCACCTCCCCCAGGGTGACAGTGGCCTGGGGACGCGGCGGTGGCACTGTCCCCGTGTCCCCACAGAACTTCTCGGGGTACGACGTGTGCAGCATCCTGCTGGGGACATCGACGCTGCTCGTGTGGGTCGGGGTCATCCGGTACCTGACCTTCTTCCGGAAGTACAACGTGAGTGACACCTGTGTCACCTGTGTCACCTGGGGACAGGGACAGGGACAGGGGACAGTGACAGGGACATCACGGGGTCAGGGTCATCCGGTACCTGACCTTCTTCCGGAAGTACAACGTGAGTGACACCTGTGTCACCTGTGTCACCTGGGGACGGGGACACGGCCAGGGTTAAATCCCATTTTTCCTGCCCCAGATCCTCCTTGTCACGTTTGGGTTGGGGACAATTCCTGTTTTTCCTGCCCCACACATGGAAAACTCCCATTTTTCCCATTTTCTCAGTTTTTCCCGATTTCCCCGGTTTTTCGCCCCAGATCCCGAGTGTGACGCTGCGTGTGGTGCTCCCGACGTGATGCTCTCCCCACACGTGGATAATCCCCTTTTCCCACCCCAAATCCTCATTTTCCCGCCCCAACCCCCCATTTTTCCCGCCCACACGCGGCTGACTCCCGTTTTTCCCGATTTCCCCGTTTTTCGCCCCAGATCCTGATCGTGACGCTGCGCGTGGCGCTGCCCAACGTGATGCGCTTCTGCTGCTGCGTGGCCGTGATTTATCTGGGGTATTGCTTCTGCGGCTGGATCGTGCTGGGCCCGCACCACGTCAAGGTGGGTCTGGGGTGGTCCCAAATCCCAGTTTGGTGTCGGGAGATTCCCAAATTTCGGGTTTGGGGTCGGGATGTTCTCAAATTCCAGTTTTGGGGTTGGGTTCCTTCCCAAATCTCTGTGCTGGGCCCACACCACGTCACGGTGGGTCTGGGGTGGCCCCAAATCCCAATTTGGGGTCAGGGGATTCCCAAATTTGGGGTTTGGGGTCGGGAGATTCCCAAATTTGGGGCTGGAGTTGCGGGGATTCCCAAATTTCAGTTTTGGGGTTGTGATGTTCTCCAGTCCTGGTTTTGGGGTTGGGTTCCTTCCCAAATCCATGGGTGAAATGCAGGTGACACACAGGTGTGACAGGTGACACAGGTGACACAGGGTTACAGGTGACACAGGTGACACACAGGTGACACTGGGTTACAGGTGACACTGGTGACACAGGTGACACAGGTGACACAGGGTTACAGGTGACACAGGTGACACTGGTGACACAGGTGACACAGGTGACACAGGGTTACAGGTGACACAGGTGACACAGGTTACAGGTGACACTGGTGACACAGGTGACACAGGTG